CATTGATGGCGTCAAGTGTGGCAGCGGTAGTGAGGTTGGCCCAGGATCGGACATTATTTCGTTCTGCTGTGCATAGGGGTCGCTATGAGTCAGTTCCGACTCGATGGCACCTGACAACAACAACAACAATGAATAAAAATGTAGTATAGTCACACATGGAATATCTGGTAGTAAAAAGGAATGGCGTACTGATGCATGATACAATAGATGAACCATGTTTAATGAAAAGAAACCAACCACAAAATACCACATTCTGTACTATGGAATGCCCACTACTGAATCATGGAATGTTCATAATAGGCAAATCTATAGAGACAGAAAAAAAAATTAGGTTAGTAAAAAGATGGGGGATTGGAGAGTGAGAGTTAAGGCTTTTGGGGGTGATGAAGATACTGTAACACTGATTGTAGTGCTGGCTGTGTAACTCTGTCACTATATACCCACTCCTCATTTATCTGAGTCCTGGTGGCATAATGTATTACATATTGAGCTGTTAGCTTCAGAGTGTTAGTGGTTCAAATTCACCAGCTACTGCTCCAGAGAGAGATGAGGCTTTCTACTGCTTTTAAGTTTTTATTGTGAATTTAGTGATAGTTTACATGGGATAACATTGGTTTTACACTCATCCTATCATATTTCATTTCATTGCAATGATTACAATCCCCTCCGTGCATCATCATTCCACAGTATTTGCCTTTATTCCTTATGTTTGTTTGTTTGTTGTTGTTTTTTGATGTACACCAAAACACTCAGGAATATATAATCATTTAAATAACCAAAGGGCACGTTCTGCAAGCCTGCCTCCTGACTGCCAACACACAACCTTTCTTTTTCCATGAGTCTAGAGTCCTCAGCTGCTCTGTCTCTCCATGTGATCATCTCTGCTTCCATCTTTGGTGTCGTTCCTTCTCTGAGAAGTCCCACATGCTCTTCTCCTTTGTTGGTCCTAGGGTCCTCTGTTCCTAGAATGTAAGATTAATTAATTCCCCCTTTTTGTTACAAAACTTCTACCTTTACAGTTGTGACAATTATAATTAGTCATGTTAACAATTACTTACTTTGAATCAAAATCTTATCCCCATCTCCTTTCACCAGACCCATCTAGACAAGATGAAAACTATTCCCCTGCACACTCTGAAACTAAACTCCCTCTTTAAAACTTGTAAGCCAGTGACTTCGTGCCTTTATAGTCCCCCCATTTAAGGTTGTTGTTGTTGTTGTCAGGTGCCATCAAGTCGGAACCGACTCATAGCGACCCCATGCACAGCAGAACGAAACAATG